TGGGATTTATCAGGGAAGTTAACAGGTTACAGGAAACAGGGTGGCAACAAGATACAGTTTCTCAATCATGACAGCTTTTGAAACATGCCCACAGGCCCTTCACAGCCTTGCAGCTTTAGGTCAGTGTTATAAAGCTCTCATTGTCCTACCTGTTGTGATGTCTCTTCCCTCTAGTCCTCCGGCAAACTCGGGTGAAGGCCCTGGTTCCATGGGGCAACTAGTCCCAACTCAGCTCTGTCTCACGCCAGTCTTTGATTCTTTGATATGGTTGGTCCTACTTTCCTGTTGCCTGGAGGGACCATTCCTTGGAGAAGGACATCATGCTTGGAAGGGTGGAGGGTCAGGGCAGGAGAGGAAGACCCTGGGTGAGATGGGTGGACACAGTGACTGTACCAAGGGGGGGCAGATGTGTCAGAGACAGGGAGATTGGCTCACAATAGGGCAAGATTCAGAGCGATTGTTCACAAGGTCATTATGAGTCATAGTCGACTCGGTGGCTTGTAACAACGACAACAAAAAACTCTTCTGCACTTTGGGCAAGTTACTAGGAGAAGCTCTTTATTGGAGAGGGACATCACGCTTGGCCAGGTAGAGGGACAGTGAAGCAGAGGAAGACCCCCAACCAAGTGGATTGACACATTGACAATGAATTAGGGGCAATGGATTTGAGGATGCCGGAAAGGGTATGACTGACACAGGAGAGGACAGGGTTCAGATCTCCTGGTCATAGGTTTGCTATGAGTCATACTTGACTCAATGGCTCCCAAGTTCAGGTCTGACTGGTGCAGGAATCTCCGTGAACTCTAAAGATGTGCACGGCATTCTCTGCCTCTTCCTTACTGGTAGTGAGGTTCCCAATTTATGTTGAACCAGCTGAACCAGCTCAATTGAAATCTGGCAGAATTTCAATCCGGCCCATCTCTCTGGGGATAGACTAACATACCCTTCTTGTACGTTCTAGCCCCGTCACGTGGTTAAAGTCCAAGATAATGAATGGCTTTGGAAAGCCACTTTGAACAACAGACTCGCTACACCCTTTTACAACCTAGTTGAATTTTCATCCCCTTTAGGGAGATAAAAGAGTCCTGACAGTGCAGTGGTCAAAGCATTCAGCTGCTTTCTTTTTCTTTTTTAAAAATTTAAATTTAAGGGGAGCTCTGGTGGCCTAGTGGCAAGGAGCTGCATCTACAATCCCAGAGGCAAATGGTTCAAATCCACCAGATGCTTTGCCGGGGAAGGAGGGACAATCTCCTCCTGTACCAGTCAGATCTGATTTGACGGTACACTCACACAAAAATAATTT